TCCATTGATGTATGGTTTGTTAGGATCGCACAATGTTTGACTGAGATACAACTATTTGAAAATCTAGCAACAGATGATTTCTTCTGTATTGTGATGTACATCTGAGTGAAATGGATTATTGAAAAAGAAAAACTAATATAGGGCAGGACTTGGTTCTGTCTGTCGCTTGCTGATTGGATGTTGAGATGTGGGCGTCGCTCTCAATATGTGGGTGGGGCTTGCAGTGGGCTGTAAGAAAGGGGCGGGGTTTAAGCCGACTATATTCCTGGAGAAGTCCTGCATATCCAGTTATGACTTTTGATTAAACATTACGGAGTTAATAATAATAATAAGATTAAACACACGCATTGATTAATTATTCACAAAAAGATAAATAACACACATTCACAAAGTAAATAGGGTGAATTTTCACTTCATGCCAACAGCAATTATATTCACTTATGTGAATTTTATTTAAATTCTGTTTTCTAAAATTCTAATTCTGCAACAAGTTTGCAACCTTTAAAATTTAGGAACTGGATCGGAATTTAAAATGCAATTTATTTAATAATAATAATGCATTTTATTTAATAAATTATTATTATTATATTATAATTAATTTCGGTACAGTTCAAAATGTTGTACTCTAAAGCTGAAATAAAATACAATAAATATACATTTGTATAATTTGTATAAATGTAAAATATATAAAATAGAACAAATAATAATATAATATAAATATTAGATAAAAATGTATAACAAAAACATTTAAATGGTTTTTATCAAATATAACAAAAATTAATAAAACAATGTATAATTTAATTTAAAATATAAAAAACATATATATAAAAACTATGAACAGACAAAAAAATTATTTAGTAAATTATATACAATGTTTGCTTTTTTTAAAAAAGAGGAAATGAAATTATTTTCTGTGCTCATCAGCATTAAGGCATAAATTGTGTAGCTGGAGCTGAAGTGAAGTATTGAGCCTGAACTCTTCAGAAGTCCAGGATGTTTGTTTGGTTGTTGTAAAAGCTGTTTCGAACCCGTGCAAACATTGTAAAGTGCATTATTAACATCCATAATGCACCCAGAAGCCTCTCAGTCCTGTTTAAGAGTCTTCTCTCATTGTTAGACATTCAGTGCTATTTTATTGACAAAACACAAAGCTTTTAATAACAGAAGAATAATATGCTCCACAGGAGCTGATGGTTATAGAGCGGCACTCACTGTAATCAGCAGCGGTCTGGTTCTGGTTCTGGAGGAAACCCTGCGGACTCAGAGC